AATAAATTTTAAGAAAACTCAAAAAAACTTTTTAAAAATAATTTTAGCAGGCAAATTTGCCTGCTAGACGGTTTAAGAGATAAAGTCTATGCAGTCAATGTTATTCAATTGATTCTTAATATTAATAAGTAAATACTGTTATGGATTAAAAGTTATATTTCACGAATTGTGTATATTTTCTTTTATTATCACTTTTATTTTGTTTTATTCTTTATTTTATTTTTATTCTTGATTGTATTATGTCGTCACATGCCAATTCCATTTTGATAACAATGCCCAATATAGTTTGGGCGTTAATCTACGAAAATATATTAGTTATATCAATTAGGCAATTATAAGGGGCTGGTAAGGCGTAGTGAATCTAATTTTCACGTTGACGCTAAATTTTTAATGCAGATGCTAAATTTTTAGCATCAACGCCAAGCTAATAACGTAGATGATGGAATAATCGCGTTAACGCTAAATTATTAGCATGAACACTACAAGAAATTAAAATGTATAAAAGTGTTGCAAATTAATAAAGGAGAAGAAGGTTCTACATCCATTTTATCTCTTTGAAAATTCAACTTGAACTTTAATAAACCTGATCGTAACTCAATTCGACGGACTGAATTGACTTGTAACCTCGATTCAGCATATTAAGATCGAATTTCTTTGTAATGGTCCTTCGTAAATCTTCGGAACTTGGTCACATGATTTATAATAGTAATTTTTTTGTTCTAGAGAAAAGTTTAATTTGAAGATGTGAATGTTAACCGCCCCACCTCCTTTGGCATCACCAGCATTAGCTAATTTGATAGATAGCTGAAATAAGATATAATTTATTATATAAAGTATCATATATCATTTGTGACTTATATCATCGCTTTAGATATCAAATTACGTTGATATCATCCCTAGATAACAAGTATATTCATTCTCAATCTTTAGAGTGATTATTTTTAAAGTTCTATCGTTAAACATCATCATCAATCAATCATATCTCTTTCACCCACTCTAAAAAGTATTACTTCTTTTTATCATTTCTGAATTATTTTAATTCATAGTTCTTTCTTTATTTCATGTATGCATTTTAATTATTATCAGCACTTAAATCATATTAAGTTTATTTTTCGTTCCTCAGAATGATTAGTTTAAGTTAGATTTATAGCTTTTCTTTATTTTTATAAACCCCAATCACATACACGGTTGAAGTTCAAATTGGCACTATTTGTCTATAATCGCCCAGCTCTCCCAATACAACTGTTACATTTTGCGCCGATTGTGTGGACAGAACTAAAGATTCTACCTAAAATTAAATAAGCTAAATAGATAGTGTTAACTTTTAACAGTATAAAGATAAAACGTACTGTATAAATTAAAAGAAAATGACTCAACGTTCGCCGGTAAATCTAGCCCGACCCAATTTGGAAAATCTGGGTCAACCGCCTAACTCGGCACTGCAACCGAATTTGGTCCAACAAGTCAACCTGCCGCAGCCACTTCAACCGCCTCAGCCACTGCAGCAGCCTCAACCGCCTCAACAGCCAAACCCAAGATAGCCGCCTCAGCAACATAACGCTATCGATAACTTAGCGGCTCAAATTGGATTATTAATCCAACAGATGCAGGTTGCTCCTGCTCCACAAGTTAACTACAACGCCCCGAACTGGAAACTGAATTTGGTAGCTTATCCCGATTTTACTGGAGGAGATCAAGACCCCGTATCTTGGTTGGATGAGGTAGAAAAAGCTTTTGCCGCTAATTTGGTTAGCAATGACTGTCAGCTCCCAGTCATTGTTCCGCATCTTAAAGGTCCTGCAGCCACTTTGTGGGCAACAATGCAGCAACCATCTAACCCAATTAATTCTGGGACGATCTGGTCCAACCCAATACTAGCTTTCGACCACATTTCATACTCCAATTTCGCACCCCCGCACTTGAAGGAAAGTGGTTTGCTCAACTGGCCTCTAGAAAGTAGCAAGTTAGTGAAGACGTCGATACCTACTATACTGCAATACAAAAGGTGCTCCATCGGATTGAGACAGGGGCATAGCCCTATCCAGAAACAGCCAAGGCCCAACTTTTTCTGAATGGTCTATGACCTGATATTGTGCTGGCCATTGCCCCATTTACTTTCAACACACTACAAGCCGCATATGATTGTGTTAAAGCGTATGAGAGTGCTTGTAAGCAAAATCTACCATATATTCTCATGCCTATCAGTGCTTTGTATTTGTCTCAGTTCTCCTCGAATGTCCCAACCAGGTTTTCCCCTACCATTACGACGTCCGAATCTGCAATTGAAAAATTAATAGAAGCTGTCAATAAAATGATAACACAAATGCAAGAATAACGGCCACCTTCTTCAAACAACTCTCCTAGAGTAGTTTGTTTTAAATGTGGACAACCAGGTCACATTAGTCAAAATTGTCGTAGTCCGGTTGCCCCTAATTTTCTGCCCAATTCTCCCCAAAACTATGTTCTCACAGGTCAACAATATAACCCTGGGCAAAATTTGACCCCAGTAGTGTACTCGCACCCTAATATGAATTTTCAGAATACTCCTGCAACTGTTAACCCTAACCCTAATAATAACATTAACAATGCTAATTCTACTTTGGGAGAGGCCCCGGGAAACCAACAGCAAGAGGCTCTACAGGCTCTGTTAACCATGGCGGCTAGTTTGGCTACTTCTAATCAACCGGAAAGTCAGATAATTTCAACTCGGCAAACAACCAACAATCCTTTCTTAGTATAGCAGTAGAGGACACTCCTTTATTTGCTGTTGGGTCATGGATCACCACCATGGCTCATCCATCTAAACGGCTTCAAGAAGAGAATGAAGACCTAGAGTCTAGTAAGGAAGAATCATTAGAAACTTTATTAGAGAAAGAAAAGGACAAAGATAAAGAAAAAGAAAAAGAAGACAAATCCAATAAAGAAAAGGATACAGATAACTCTCCTAAAGCTTCTTCAGTTAAGCCCAAACGCGCTCCAGTAATTAGGCGGAAAGTTCTGGAAGATGAAATGCCCCAAATCTTATCCTGGGTGCCACCATATTCAATTATTACCAATTTATGTGATAAGCTGGCCAACATCACAATTGGACAACTTCTTTGTGTTATCCCTGCCATGAGGACTGAATTAATTAAAAGCCTGCATAAGAAAAAGACTATGCCAAAAAGAAAAACAAAAGTAAATATTAGCATAGCCCCTACCAGCAAGTCAACTGCTTTATATTGTGACACCACTATCCTAGATATCGAAGTCCCTCTAATAGTTGATAGTAGGTCTTCCAGAAGTGTAGTTACTTCTCATTTACTCCATGACCTGGGCATAAAAGTTGAACGTCCTTCTACTATTAATATGGTAAATATACATAGGGAAAGCAAGCGAGCTCTAGGGGAAATCTCTGCTTTCCTATTTGCCGTTGCTAGAGTTGAGATTCCAATAGACGTCGTAGTAACCGATGCTAACTCTTACTATGCCATAGTGGGAAATGATTGGCTCTCCAAGGTTCAAGCCAAAATTGACTGGACAACCGCCAAGATGACATTTACTTGGAACAATCAAGAAATAATAGTACCGGTTGAATTTAGAAGATTACCTTCTGAGCCCATATGTAAAGAACACTCTGTAAAAGTTAAAGACCTAAAAAAAAATGATGATGAAACTAAGTATGAATCCAGTGGTGATGATGAATATGAGGAAAAGGAGTTGGAAGACCGTGTATATAATTATTCCGGTACCAAAGGAGAAACTTACTTTTTGACTCATTGGAAGTATTTGAGTTTCAAATCAATAAAGAAACAAGCCCTTCTAATGAACATAGATTTCACGCGACTTTAATAGACTTACCCCAAGATTGGTATCCTAGAGTCCTAGATAATTACATTAATGCTCCCTCTGGTCTTACACCTCCGTCTACTCCTACAATTTCAAGTTCGTCCGAGTCTTCAGAAGATCTAATTTTAAATTGAAACACTCCTTCGTCTGCATCTACGATTTTAAGTTCTTCCGAGTCTTTGGATAACTCAATGTTAGCCACTAACAATTCCAACTCTATCATTTCTAATCAAGTTGAGATTTTGGGTACCCCAGATTCACGCATAGATTCTCCGGCCCCTATTCCTTTTGTTTCTTCTTCTGAAGAAGATAATAATTATAGTGATTATTTTAGAATAATTAATCCTAATAATGGTAATAGGTTGATATTACTATTCATAAGTGGCCCCAATGGTGCTCCGCCGATAATTTTTCTCGAAAGTGACTCAGATGAGTCAAATAATTCAAATTTTGATTGGTATAAAACTAGATGGAAAAATAGAAGTGAAGAATATAAGTTTAATAAGAACGATTCCGATGAGGATGATAATATAGATGAACTAAGAAGGCAATTAAAACTTAATAAAGAGAAGCAAAAACTTTAACTGTGACCTGCCAATATGATTTAGCAGGAAATGCTTATTTAACCGAAGAAGGAGCTAAAAAAGATTTACAGAGTCATTTGGTTACCGAACCTGTAGAGAAGGAAGAAGTTGAAGAAATTAGAGATGTTTTTGATTATTATTATGGGGAAGATTTAAAGAAAAGAAATACATATCAAATTGGAGATCTTAGTACAGTCCAAGACAGTTAACTTCGGCAGTTTCTTAACCAAAATTCCAAGTTATTTGTGTGGGAGGGGGAACAGTTAGGGCGCACTAATATTGTCTGGTATTATATTCAAACCGGTGATTCTTTGCCTATAAAAAAACACCTATATTGATACTCTTCTGCGGAAAAGCAAGTTATTAGGGATGAGATCAGAATGATGATAAAAGAAGGAATTGTCCATCCTTGTGAAAGTCCTTGGACGTCTCCAGTGGTGCTGGTGCTAAAAAAAATAGTCAAATGCGATTTGTGTTGATTACCGCAAGTTGAATTTAGTAACCCAAAAAGATAATTACCCCTTGCCTTGGATTCAGGATTTACTTGACACCCTTAATGGTTCGGCCTGGTATAGCTCACTTGACTTGGCCAGTGGTTACTGGTAAGTCGAGGTAAAAGAAAAAGATAGGATAAAACAGCCTTTACCACTCTGTTTGGAACTTACATATTCAATGTCATGCCCTTTGGGCTAACAAACGCTCCTACTACATTTCAGCGGTTGATGAATTACCTGTTCCAGGATTTAATCGGGAAATGTGTAATTGTCTACCTAGATGACATAAACGTTTTTTCTAAAACCTTTGATGAATATTTGTATCACCTGAAATTAGTTTTTGACCGGCTTGAGTTAGCCGGCCTTAAATTAAACTCAGCTAAATGTTATCTTGGCTATGAAGAGTTGAACTTCCTAGAGCATACTATAAATAAAAAAGAAATAGCTACAAATCCAAAAAAAATAAAGGCTGTTAAAAATTTTCCCATCCCAAAGAACTTACGGCAACTACGTGGCTTTTTAGGATTAATATCCTATTACAGAAAGTTTATCAAAAATTTTACCAATATAGTCGCTTCTCTTAACTACCTATTAAAGAAAAATATCAATTATCAATGGACTGCGGACCAACAACGGGCTTTTGAAGATTTAAAAGAAAGACTAATTACTACCCCGGTCCTAGCTTATCCTGACTTTGAGAAAACATTTATACTTTTTACCGACACATCTAATGTGGCATTAAGTGCCATTTTATTACAAAAGAATGAAGATGGGCATGAGCAAGTAATTTCTTATGCTAGTCATAGTCTTATTTCGGCAGAAAGAAATTATGCAGTAACAGAAAAAGAATGTTTGGCCGTAGTATGGGCCATAGGATATTTTCGCCCCTATCTTCACAGTAACCGTTTTATCCTTTATACCAACCATTCCGCGTTAAAATATCTCTTCGAAATTAAATTGCCAAAAAACCACCTTGCCAGATAGGTTATGACCCTGATGGAATATTCATTTACCACCGTACATAAACCCAGCAAACTTCATACCAACGTAGATAGTCTTTCTCGAATTTAATGAATTACCGTTGCTAAAATATTCTTAGATTTAAAACAAAATTAATTAACAAAATTTTAGAACCTGACAAAAACAAAAATTGTTAGAATTTTTATACTTCCTTTAAAATCCACAAATCCAGTCCAGGTTATGGTGTCCTGGCATTCTTCCTGAAATTTTAATATATAGACTTTAGAATTCGTATAATTCCATCCCCTTTTTAAAAACAACAAACAATTAGTAAAATTTTAAATGCAAATTAGACCAAGTTAGCGAATATGGACTTGGACATATATCTTTTATATTTTCAATATCTTACCGGCACACTTGCTCTATCCCAATTCAACTCTAGAGAAATCCAAGTGATCAAGCGTAAGGCTTGTCGTTATTTAATTATAGAAGAATTGTTATATAAGAAGAATCTTCAAGATCCTACGTGACCCTTAAGGGTAATAAAAAAAGATGAGGTTAAGGCTATATTATTTAGCTTCCATGATAACCCACTTTCCGGCATTTGGGATTTTACTCCACCTACCAACGAATCGCCACCCGATATTACTGGCCACAAATTTGCGAAGACATAAAAAACTACATCTGTACCTGTGATGTATGCCAAAAGAAAAAAAGACCCAACACCCGTGAGCCCTTATATCCTATTAAAATAGGAAAGCCCTTTGATAGGATAGGAATTGATATAGTAGGGCCTCTTCCAGTGACCTCTAAAAATAACCGATACATCGTTGTTGCCACGAAATATCTTACAAAGTGGCAGAGGCACGTGCCTTAGAGAAGGCCGACGCTGAAAGTGTCGCTGCTTTTATTCTAGAAGATATAATTTTTCAGCATAATAGCCCTAAGGAAATCCTGTCAGACCAAGGCACCCACCCATTTCTGTAATATCTTAGTAAATGCTCTTTGTAAGAAATTAAATGTTGTTCATCAAACCTCAACGGCTTATCATCCACAAACTAACAGGATGGTAGAGCACTTTAATCAGACCCTATGTGGAATTATAAGTAAATGTGTAAATCAGTATGGAAAAGAATAGGATGAATATGTTATTTCCGCTCTCTTTGCATACCAGACTACTACTCACAGTATTACTGGGTATGAACCATTCTACTTACTATATGGCCGAAATCCTATTCTTCCTATTGAAGATCAATATACAACTCACCAAACTCAACCCGGAACTGAGGAAGAGCTACAATCACAAATTTACCGGCGGGTAGAAACCTTGATGGTAAATTTATAGAAACATGTCAATTAGCTACTATAAAAATAAAAAAATTACAAGAAAAGCAGAAGATGTATTATGAAGAAAAAAATAAGATCAGATCATATGAGATCGGAAATCTAGTCCTCTTATATAGGACTGAACTTGAAACGTCGTATAGCGCTAAATTAGAACCCCGAAATCTGGGATCTTATTATATCCATGACATATTGTCATATGGACTATATAAATTACAAACAAACAATAGTCACATGCTCAAGAAGAGAGTGCACGGAAACCAGTTATTGAAATACTATTCCCGTTTAGAGAAAACTTAAGCCTCCTTTAATCATGGCAGTTCTAAGTGGCCTTGAAAGATATAAATAAACGACAGGAAATATAAAAGTAGAAAATTAAAATTAAAAAAAAAATAATAATAAAAAAAAAAAATGCCTAACTCTGAAATTTCCCGTCACATTAAGAAGACTCTCGTGACATTAAAAGCCCAAATGGCGAGAGCTGAAATCAAAGGAACTTATATCATTTCGGCACAAACTGTTATCTACTCTCATAACTAGCAATCACAGCCTCTGTCTATCAATGCCCAAGCGAACAACAAATAATGCACCAGAGAATGCAAACATTTCTTGCTGACCTCAAATGAAGCGAAAATACTTCACACCAAATTAGAGCTCCTCTTGGCAAAACTTGGGAAGAAAAATTAATTGCGGCTCATACTCACCTTTCTCTGGGTAATATCAATCATCCTAGCCAATTACTACATTATTACTCTATAGGAGAGTTACTAAATGCGAAGGCTTGGAAGAAAGACACTAAGGATTTTCTTAAACGTTTGGAACCTCAAAAGTATCAAGACATTATTACTATCGCATATCGTACTTACTTCTTATACCAAGCTCGGGGGTCCTTCTTATCTTTTCATAGCACGGCAGATTACTCATTACGTACTTCATCGATTATGGAAGGAAGATTTTAACGTCCTAAAAGCAGAGGCTCAAGCTGAGTTGAACGAAGTCCTCTTACTTACTGATTTCGCAGGGGCTCAATCCCCAGGGAGGCATATGTTATGGATTAAAAGCTATATTTCACGAATTGTATATATTTTCTTTTATTATCACTTTTATTTTGTTTTATTCTTTATTTTATTTTTATTCTTTATTTTATTTTTATTCTTGATTGTATTATGTCATCACGTGCCAATTCCATTTTGATAACAATGCCCAATATAGTATGGGCGTTAATCTACGTAAATATATTAGTTATATCAATTAGGCAATTGTAAGGGGCTGGTAAGGCGTAGTGAATCTAATTTTCACGTTGACGCTAAATTTTTAACGCAGATGCTAAATTTTTAGTGTCGACGCCAAGCTAATAATGTAGATGATGGAATAATCATGTTAACACTAAATTATTAGTGTGAACGCTACAAGAAATTAAAATGTATAAAAGTGTTGCAAATTAATAAAGGAGAAGAAGGTTCTACGTCCATTTTGTTTAACACCCGAATAATAAAGTAAATACTTATCTCTTTGAAAATTCAACTTGAACTTTAATAAACCTGATCGTAACTCAATTCGACGGACTGAATTGACTTGTAA